AGACTGCCCGGGGGTCCCGGCGCTGTGGGTCAGCAGCGATGTGCCCAGAGGGTCCCCACGGGCATTCCGGGGCCGATCATCCCGAAAGGCAGTGCTGGAGGAAGGCTCTGGGGAAAGAAACACGGAGGCGTTAGGGAGGCTGTTTCCCATCGGGGTCCCTGCGGGGTCAGGGCACGGGGTGCAGCCATGGCCACGTCCCGGGGCTGCGCGGGGCAGCGACTCCTCCCGAGGGGATGATGGAGAAGGAGCTCTCCTCTCTGCCCAGGAGCCCAGCATCACCCCACGCCGAGAAACCCCTCACACCCTTCCCAACAGCATCTTCCACACACATCCATATGGCCGGTAAGAGGGGGAGCCCTCAGCTCCCGCTGCCCCAGGGCGACGGTCTCCCCCCATTTCTCTCCTCCATCGCTGCCTTATCGTGTCTGAAATCAGGCTGATAAGGCAGCAGGGCAAAGCCGGGAATAGACACTTAACCGCCCTATCTTGCAGCACATCGGTTTATCCCCTCCATCGAAACGCTCTGAAATGACTCTCCCTCCAGACACGGAGCTGACAGCCCGGAGTCCTCCCAGTGCCTCTGCTCTCCAGGGACGCGGGAGCCCAGTGCTCGTGGCCATGGTTGCAGGTCGAGGTCGGCTTGTTTAATTTCACCAACCAGAGGCTACTGGCTCGCAGGTGACAGGAGCCGAACGGCTCCCAGCACCATCACAGCTCTTGGGAAAGCAGCTGGGCGACAAGAAGATGCTCCAACTCCTCATAACCAGGAGCAACGCTTGTTTGCCCCAAACTCCACCCCTGGACACCTCCGCGCAGCGGGGGCAGAGGGGCAGGCAGGGCAACGGGTGAGAAATGGAAGGGAAACACAAACCAGGTTGGGAAGCACGCTGAGAGCTATCCCGGCCGACGGCACGCTGCCCGCGCAAGCAGAGCCCTGTAATTACTGCTAAAGCTGCTGAACAGGAGTGCCCGCAGGTCAGGTCTCCACACCAAGCAGACGCTCAGGCCGGGCACTGCGCGGAGGGTCACAGCCCGCCCCACAGCACCCAAAGCTGAGAAAAGGACACGGGCTCTCACCCGCTTCGTCTGTGGTCCTGCTGCACCCAGACTGCACCGCCGGGACACGTCAAGCGCTGGCCGGCCCCGGGCAGGGGGATGCAGGCAGGAGCTGCACGGCAAACCGCGCTCCGTCTGGGAGGAGGGAAACGAGGATGGTACAGGTAACAGCAGGGAGATGCCATTGGAGCTCATCTGTAAGAGCATTGACTTGAAGGAGTAGGATGGGTTTATCTGCCAGGGAAACCATCCAAACCCTTCCCGGCCCTCCCTGCCAAGGTCCTGCAGCCGGTTAATGAACGTGCATTTCCCCATTGATTGCAACGGTGATGCGCTTCAGCTGGAGGAGCTTTGGCTGGGACCTGTCCCTGCTGCTGTGGACCTCATGCAGGGCCGGGGGCACAGGGACACCGGGGAGGGACATCAGCACAGCTGACCTCCCTCCACCCTACTTCCTTGTAGCATGTTGCATGCGTGCCCCGTCCCGGCATCTGCAATCCACGTGGCACGTCACAGCCTCCTGGGAATTTTCAGATAACTTCCCTCCATCCCCAGCGGCTGGCAGCCCTCCAGACACGCCGACGTCTCCAGCCCAGGCCTCGGCACCCAGAGCACAGCCGGGTCAGCGCAACACCCCCGCGGTGCCGGAGAGCCCCGGCACCATCTGTATTCAGGGTGGCTCTCGCCCTGACAGGCGAGCAGGGAGCCGCCCCGGCGCAGCGGCCAGGCTCGCTCGGAAGCCAACTGATAAAACAAGTGCGCAGCGGGGGCAGAGCTGAGGGTCCGACAGCCTCGGCGTCCCTGAGCCGGGGTCGCTCACACCCCTGCGAGGGTGGCACAGCACAAACACGGCCCCGCTGCTGCCCTGGAGCTGCTGTCAACACCTCAAAGAGGGAAAATCAGTGGGAAACAGTCAAAGCAGTAAGAAATCAAAGCCCCCGCGCCCACGTGAAGCCTTGCCTGGCCCCAGAGCATCCCAGCCAGGGAGCCTTCGGGCTGCTGAGCCCTGGGCTGCACGGGGACGCTTCAGGCAGAGCCTCCCGCGGGGATCCAGCCCAGCAACTGCCTCCCGCAGCCCCGATGCAAAAATGCCCAAACCCACCTTCCGCGGGGGTTGTGCCGGCGGTGGCAGAGCACAGCCCCAAACACCGGCACCGCTCCCGGCGGATGCTGCGTGGCCGGGACCTGCTGCCGGGCCGGTTGGTACCGTCACCCTTCCAGCCCGGCGGCATGCAGCACCGCGGCCCTGTGCCGAGATGGGCAGTTGCATAAAGCACTCCTGGCCCGAGATCCAAGAAAAGGCTCGTCAGCTAATAATAAACAGCAGAGCCAGTCCTGAAGAGTGGAAATCAATTCCACATCGCAGTGAAGTTGTGCAGGACGTGGAGGCGAGCACCGTGCCAGGCAGCAGCCGCGTTACATAATGAAGGCAGAGAGGCTTTGCTGCAGCAGAAAGTTGCATCTCGGCAGCTCGGCGGGG